CTCTCTCTATATATATATATATATATATATATATATATATATATTCAATGTTTTGGCATCATCATTGCTACTATCTTTATCACCTTTTTTGGTCTCCATATCACCTGTGTCATCTGAAAAATGTTATAGACGTAAACATTTCAGCCAAAATAAAATTTAATAGCGGCCATCTTTACAGTCACCTGCTAACGTGTCGAAAACGGAAATACCATTTTACGTGTCACCGAATTCTGGGAAATTCTGTTTTTTACTTTTTTGTTCAGGCATTATTGCCAGTGGAGAAGGCAATGGGAAAATCGATTCTTCACATAGCAGTTTGCTGCAGTTTGTTTTATCTTTTTACAATAGAAACTGGAAGAAACTTTCATTTATTTCCTATCATCGACGCTACACTTTCTCTCCTTTTTTTAATTTTTTTTAACCAGTTTCCTTTAAAAAAATTTTTCATTAATATAATTACCTGGCTTCGGCTGGATAATTTCAAAATAATATCAGCTCAAGCAATCTTCCAGGCATTGCCTCTCCTTCGGGAGAGGACTGGCATCATTACCCGGCGCCTGAGAGAGCTTGAGCAATTTTTCTACCGGTGTGTCATTAAATCTACTTTAAACCTCGACTTTGTGTCACTTTTGGTACCGACGTGGACTCAGTGAAAAATGCAATCTTTAAAATCTTACCTTTTTTTCATTTAATTCTTTGAGCCCTGTCTTCATGAACAATTTAACCCTTCCGCATGAGTCAAAAATTGCAAATAATTGTTATGTAATGTTTCACGACAGATATAAAAATAGTTAGAAAAAATATAACTTCTTCAATGCTTCCCTGACGATCCAGATTGAGAATCTGCAAGCTTCATGATAAAAACGATCTTTTTTTTTTTTATCCAAAACACATGCAAAAAACACAATGAAAAGGCGCGGACATGTTGGCATAACGTTCGATGACATCAGAATATTACGGCTTTTCTGATTGGTTCTTCCAGATAAGACAACCAATAGCAAAACACGACGCAAGTGTTTACCCGCCGTTAAACCAATGACTGGGCATTAAGTCATTTTTCTCTACCACTGTTCGACCGGCGGCAATACGTCATTTTTCTCTAGCACCGGTAAAGCTCAAAGGGTTAATATGAGTCTTTTCGATTTTTTATTTACCGTTTATCGTCTGCTTTCTGCTGAACTTTTTTTTCGCTTGTTCCCTTTTCTGTTGTCTTTCCCCATTCAACCATGTCGGATGATTTTATAGCATCCTTGCCATATTTGTATTTTCACATTCATCTTTTTTTTCTTTTTTTTTTTTTGACTTTTTAAATTTCTTTTAAATTTTAATTTTATATGTTCACGAATTTTTCTCATTTAATTCTATTTTTCTTAAACTGTTTTCTCTTTTCGGTTTCATATTGTTTTCATTGTCATTCTTTCTTCCCTTTATTTTCACTTGCTTTACAAAACTTTTTTAAAACTATTTTGTGTCGCTCTTTCACTGAAATTTCTTCTTTTCTTCATTCTTCATTTCGATTTTTTGTCCATTCTCATATATTTTTTCTTTTTTTCTTTTTCTACTTTCGGCCTTGCTTTCTTTCTATTATTCCCCATTTTCTTTCTACTTTTTATTCTTTTTCACTTTCATTCTTCTTCTTCATTTGATTATTTCTTTATGTTTTCTCTGTCCCTTTATCTGATATTTCATATCATCTTTCTTTCATTTTCTACTTATATTTTTCCTTTCTTCCTTCCTTCCAAATTTATAATCCCTTTTTACTTTAGTTGTCAATTATTTTCGTCCATTTTGTTTTACTTACCTTTCATTGATTTTGTCTTTAACAATTTCTTTTCTTCATCTTTCTTATTGCTATTTTCTTCTTCTTTTTTTTACTTATCAGCTTCTTTCTTTCTTTCTTTTATATTTCATCTCTACTTTCTTTTTTGATTCTTTTTTTGCTTTTTCCCCGAATCTTCTTTTCTTCATCTTTCTTAATGCTTTTTTCTTCATTTTTTTTTTAATTATTAGCATTTTTCTTTCTTTCATTTTATTTTTTTATTCATTTGATTTTTCTGTTTCCTTTTCACTCTTCCTTTCATCAGATATACAAAAACAGAAAGGGGGGTAAGGCAAGGATGGGTCTTCTCACCGGACCTATTCAACCTATACAACGAGGCAATTCTGAGAGAATTGGATATCCTACTGGGATTCATCATTAGCGGACACGATCTTAACAACATAAGATACGCAGATGACACAGTACTGATAACAAACACGGAAAAGAAATTACAAAACCTCTTACAGAAGATAGCGGAGGAGAGCGAGAAGAAGGGACTAAGCATAAACTAGACGAAGACAGAATACATGGCCGTCATTAAAAAGATGAGCCTAAAATGCGATTTACAGGTTGGGTATACTAAAATCAAGTAGGTACGAAAGTTTGAATATCAGGGAAGCGTTCTGACGGAGGACGGTAAGTGCGACGCTGAGATCAGAAAACGTATTGGGATGGCCAAAGACGCATTCCAAAAGCTAGTATTACGAGACAGGAGGATCTCTTTGGTAACAAAGAAACGACTACTGAGCTGCTACGTGATATCTGTCCTCGTTTACGGCAACGTATGTTGGATGATCTCCGCAAAGATGAAGAAGAGACTCGAGGCAACAGAGATATGGTTCCGCAGAAGGATGCTAAGGATATCATGGACCGAGCGTGTGAGCAACGATGAGGTTTTGGAGAAAATGCAAACAAGGAAGAAACAAGTTATACTTAACATCAGGAAGAGGCAGTTGAAATTTCTGGGACACGTAATAAGAAAGGAGGGCTTGGAGAATCTGATACTCACAGGTCGTATAGAGGGAAAGAGAGACAAGGGAAATCAACGTATGACATACCTGGCGGGCTTATGCAAGTGGATGACAGAACGTGGTCTGTAGAAGGTGGCAGAGGGACGAAACTTATTGAGAGCTACAAGGGATAGGGGGAAGTGGAGAGCCATGATCGCCTACGTCCTGAAGATATACAAAAACAGAAAGGGGTGTAAGGCAAGGATATGTATTCTCACCGGAATTATTCAGCCTATAGAGCGAGACAATTCTGAGAGAATTGGATATCTTTCACAATAGGCTGTTTTTATTCATTTTTCTTTCGTTTCATTTCCAAATTTATTTTTGATTCTATTTTTCTTTTTCATTCAAATTTTTCTTCTTTCTTAAATATTTCATTGTTGTTCTTGTTTTCATACTTTCATTTTCTTTTTCTTTACCTGTTTTTTTTTCTTTTTCCTTTCTTTTCTTTTCATACTTTCTTCCCTTGTGCCTTTTATTCTTTCTTTCTTTCGTTCTTTCTTTTTCCTTTCCTTTGTTCTCTTTGCCATTCTTTTCTTTTAACTTTTACTTCCATCATTCTTTTCTTTCCATCTTTCTTATCTGTTCACACGTTTTCCTTTTTTCTTTTATCTATCTTTTCCTTCTTTCTCTCCTTTCTTTTGTTTTCTTTCTTTCTTGCCCTCTTTCTTCTTTTGTTTTTCTTTTTCCTTTTCTTTTCTCGTGTTTTCTTGACTTCATTCTAACAATTGCATCTTTGGTTTTTCCTTTCTTTCATTCGTTTTCTTTCTTTCATTTTTTTTCTTTTCGTCTCTCTTTATTATCTCTTGCTTTATTTGTCGTTTAATTGTCTTCTTTCTTTTCTTTTTCTTCTTTCTTTTCTATTTCTTCTTTCTTTTCTTTATTTGTCGTTTAATTTTCTTCTTTCTTTCTTTTCTTTTTTCTTTTTCTTTTTTCTTTTTCTTTTTCTTTTTCTTCTTTCTTTTCTATTTCTTCTTTCTTTTCTTTTCTTTTTCTTTTCTATTTTTCTTTTTTTCTCTTCTTCTTTTCTTTCTTCTTTCTTTCTTTTCTTCTTTCTTTTCTTTCTTCTTTCTTTCTTTTCTTTTTCTTTTCTTTTTCTTCTTTCTTTTCTTTTTCTTCTTTCTTTTTCTTTTCTTTCTTTTTTTCTTTTCTTTTTTTCTTTTTTTTTTTTTTCTTTCTTTCTTCTTTCTTTTCTTTTTCTTCTTTCTTTTCTATTTCTTCTTTTTTCTTTCTTCTTTCTTTTCTTTCTTTCTTTTCTCTTTCTTCTTTCTTTTCTATTTCTTCTTTCTTTTCTATTTCTTCTTTCTTTTCTTTTTCTTCTTTCTTTTCTTATTTGTAATCCTTTCTTTCTTCCCCATCCATAATAATTTCCACTTTTTTGTTTATTTCTTGGCTAATTTTTTTCTTTCTTTCTTTGTTTTGAGACCCCCCTTTTTTTCCATCCGTGTTAACTGACGCCATCTTTTTTATTCTTTTGCATTATCTCTTACTTTATCGCCATTTGTTTTTCCAGGTTGTCTTAATATTGGCTTTATTCAAATTTACTTCCGCTTTGTCCTTTTTTTTTCTTTGGGTTTTCGCTTGATTTCATTTTCAAGACTTTCAAGACAGCTGATTCTTTTATGTTTTCCAACATTACTCAGATATTTACACAGCTTAGTTAAGCACAGAAGAAAGAGAATCGGAGTCATTGCATTGTGCTCCTTTACAGTGATGTTCACCCTGTACAACTCCCGGCGCCCACTCGTGGGAGACGCTTACAGAATAAGAGGTACAATTTATGCGGATAGGTGGGGAAGATTGACGCTTGACCCTAGATTTGAACATTTTATGATTGTATTGATCAGGGAAACATCCTCTTGGGAGGCGGTTCCAAAGGGTTTACGGGAAGAAGCTGCTCGACTGACACTTACTTCTCACCAGTGGAATACGGAAGGAATGGAAGTGATTCTTTACAATGTTAGTGGCATGGCGGATCATAAACATGAACATTACACAACAAAATCCAAAATTACCTCATATGGGCGAATTCCGACACGAATTCAGTCTATACATCGGGGTTAAATAAGGTTAAATAAACTTTCGCCTGTTGAAATATATCTATACACCCCTCATGAGGTAATTTTGGATTTTCTTGTGTAATACAATGTGGCTCTGTTATAATAGATACA